TGAGGCATTAAAATACACTTCACAGCCATTTGACCAGACAGGTTAGTGCAGAGCCTTGTATTCAGAAGGCGCACAGTTTGAATCTCAAACCGGGACACAGGCTATCCTGACTTAGGTTTTTCATGGTTTTCCGCACTCCCTCTAGGCAAATTCCAAGATAGTACTTTGATTAGGCCATGATTACATTTTTCCAAATCCTTTCCAATTCATCATGATTCATGTACCATCCTACCATCCGGTGCTGTATAGCCTCAATATTGAAAGTGTCGTTAAATAATCTGTAAAAAAAAAATTTGCAGCTCTTGTTCAGAAATTGAATTTAATATGATCTTCCTGTCTATGTTTACATTTTCCAGCTCAACTTTTCCATTTAGGTTCTCCAGTTAAAATTTGTATGCATTTCTATTTACCTTATTCATGCTGCATGTTCTTTCCTACTCATTGTCCTCCATTTAATCATCCAGAAAATACTGGCTGGAGGGTACACATTACTAATTGTAGAGTGAAACATGCTATTGTGTAGCATGGCCAGTGAAGCGATATAAATGCAGTCACACAATGTACAAAAGGCGTTCCGTATATAATGCCTCCTATTTTTTTTTGTGTTAATATGTAACATCTGAGTTTGATGTTGGTGGTGTTCTAGTAAAGGTTGAACCTTCCCACCAATGTACTGTAAGTTTGGTTGTCATGCGACAGATAGCGACAGCAGAGCAGTCTACGAAAATGGTGTCTGACACAGAAGTGTGTAGGAAACAGAGATGTCCTATTGAATTTCTCACTGCCGAATAAATTGCACCCATTGACATCCATTGACGCTTGCTAAAGGTGTACGGAGATGATACAGTGGATGTCAGCACAGTGAGGTGGTGGGTAGTGTGTTTCAACAGTGGCGAAAGTGAAGTGCATGACATGCCACGCCCTGGGCGTCCCTGCTCAGCTGCTACTCCTCACAGTGAACAGCACCTCGATCAGCTCATCCATACATATCGGCGGATAATGACCAGGGATCTGTGTGCACAGCATAATATCAGATGTAATGCATTGGAAACGATGTTGGGGAAGCTGGATTATTGCAAAGTTTGTTCCAGGTGGGTCCCACTGGATGCTTACACAGGATCACAGAACTCATTGAATGGAAGTCTATCAGGACCTGTTACACCAGTTTGAGGCTGAAGGTGACAAGTTTCTGGACAGTATCGTCACCGAAGATGAGACATGGTGTCACACTACGAGCCGGAATCCAAAAGACAGTCCCTGGAGTGGCAACATCTGGATTCCCCAAGAAAAAAAGAAGTTCAAGACACAACCATTGGCAGGGAAAGTGATGTGCATGGTCTTTTGGGATAGGTGGGGTGTGATTTTGTTGGTTTTCCTGGAGCTTGGTGAGACTGTGAATTCTGAATTCTACAAGACGACTCTGACTAAGCTGAAAGCCCGCATTTCCTGAGTCAGGCCAGAGAAGCAGAAAACCTTTCACTTGCAACACAATCACGCTAGACCCCATACCAGTTTGGCGACCACCGTGCACATTGCAAAGTTTGGCTGGACTGTCCTACCACATCCACCTTATAGCCCCGATTTAGCACCTTCAAACTTCCATCTCTTTGGGCCTATGAAAGATGGACTACATGGGGACCATTTTCCAGACAATGATGCTGTCATTGCAGCTGTAAGAAAGTGGCTAGCCTCTGCTGGTGCAGACTTTTACAAGCACAGCATACAGGCTCTTGTTCATCGCTGGCTAAAGTGCATAATGAATGGTGGTGATTATGTGGAAAAATAACTGTAAGTAGCTGAAATTGTGCTCTATTTAACTTGTGTTATTATGCTTTTTGTATCTGTTGTAGTGTTCATTAAGAAAAATAGGAGGCATTATATACGGAACGCTCCTCATATGTTCTCACCAGTTTCCACAACATGAGTAGTGTATTTCTACATTGTAATATCATCTTGGGGCCCTCAGTTGCTCCAGATAAAGCATAACATTTGCACAGTAGAAGGAACTATACATCTATCATGTAATTTTGCTTGCTGGATCCACTGTGACTTGTCATATGCTTAGTCAATTAAATGTGAAATATTAAGGATATTTTAAATTAAAATTATACTAGGAATAAAATGCAGCATTAGAGTGACCTCTGCATGGTGCTGCATATAATATTTTGACATGTAAAACTGTTGTTGCGCAACGGGATGTGGAACGAGGTTACGCAACAGTAAGGAAAGCAGTGTTTCTCCGTGCTGTGCCTCGCTGGTTGCTATGCAGTGTTGCCCAGCAACGCCTCTGTAAACACAGTGATTACACAACGGTGAAACAACGTGCTTTTTTCGCTGTCCAACTGAGGGTTTATAAGAGAAACTGGAATGCCTGAGGAGTCAAAGAGGTGTAAACTTGGCTGCGGTCAGGCATACAACCGTTCAAGTGACTAGACTGCCATGGTAGCGAATACTACTAGAAATAGGGCGAAATCTGCTGTACTGAGCCTGGATTGACAGAGGCCTTGTATATATTGTACATAGAAATAGGAATTAAGATTAAATTTGTAAATATATGTAAATACTGACAGTGGACTTACTAACACAGACTATGACTGACAAATAACAGACCTGACCTCTCATCAGAGAGGGCGCCCCAGATGGACAGGACAGTAACTTTCATATAAGGAACAAACAAAGAGAAAAAAATATGACTGACTGACAGTCGCAATGTGACTTTGACTTGACTGAGGAGTCAGTTGAAATGTAGCAGCCACCAAGGCAGTTAGTATTCAGAGTATTCGGCGGAGCAGAAGCCAGTCAGTTGCAGGAAGAAGAAGAACCGAATGCATGTGTGATAATCAGTGATAGTTTGTGATAACTGAGAAGGTAATGGGAGTGTGTAATACAGTGACACTTGTATAGCCTCCATGTTGTACTGTAAATACGTGAAGACTACCGAAGATAGTGTGAAGAGATTAGTGTGTAGGGTTTGTAAATTGTGTAAACCCGCAACAGTGTTATAATCAATTGTAGTTATGACTTGTAGGTTGTTAAATAAACCAGTTAACAATCTGAACAGCATCTTCAGTAGCCAAACACATTACAATATATAACTCCATACATGTGATGTTTACATTGTGTTAGTTTTACTTTATTTATATAACATTAACTCATCATATATTATAACATTGTAATGTTTAAAAGAAGCGCTTAACAGGCCATAGTGTATCCATTAGGCAAAATGACATGCCATATTTATACTACATTGAATTGGCAAGTGTTTATGCATGTATTTAGAATATTTGTGGGTCTGAAGGTGACAGTGTAATGTAGAATCATGTCGCCAATTTTGTGAAAACTGGTAGTATTTTACATTGTTTGACTGTGCATTTATGTTGTTGCATCTGGTACATTACGTAGTTATTTCAGCTTCTTTTGGTTCTTTAACAATGCTGTCAGTAGCTAAATTGTATAGTAATGAACGGTACAATGCTGAATGATTATTTCTAAAGTGAAGGAAGCAGTCATGGCCTAATTGAAGCTCTGTTCTAGCATTTACCTGGAGAAACTGAAGAAAACCACAAAGAAACCCACGATAACTGCTGGTGGCCCAGTGGAGATTTGAACCAAACATCTCCTGAATATGAGTGTAGAGCATTATTGCTATGCCAACCTGTTGGGTTTGTTCCTCTGTTACCTCTCTACCACTGATCCATATGTTCTCAATAATGTTGTATTTTAGCGTCCTGTTGCACTGATCCACATCCATGATGTGTATGTATTGACTGTCTTCTAGTGCACACAATCTCACTTGTCACTTCACTACATGTTTCGGCATCACTGTGCCATCCTCAGGTGTCTTATTTACGTTAAACTATTGCACTGCTCACCATCATGTGTCGTTTATAAAATGATTTAAAATGTATATTTGTCATGTACTATAATAAAATTTATATGTTAAAATTTTGTTAAGATTTATCGTCTTATACATCGTGTTTCAAACTCCTGTATTATATCAATCTTCCACTATGGGAGTCGTTCTTCCTATATTTTTGTGTATACTGCGTCTTGTGATGTGTCCTTCTGTTGTGGTTGTGTGTGTTGAACAATGCATTTTATAAACGACACATGATGGTGAGCAGTGCAATAGTTTAATGTAAATAACACACCTGAGGATGGCACAGTGATGCCGAAACATGTAGTGAAGTGACAAGCGAGATTGTGTGCACTAGAAGATGGTCAATACTTACACATCATGGACCATATGTTCTCAGCAACATCTTGTTGTCAGCCTCACTCTGTCTTCATTTACAGTGGTAGAGCAAATTTGCCGCAACCATAATCTCCTATCTTAGGGATATGGAGTAGGTTTATGAGATTGTCATGTTGACTTGTGTGTGTGTGTGTGTGTGTGTCCCACCTGTTAATGTTTGAATCAGTCAACTGATTTTCGTGAAAGTTGGTATGTGTGATATGCCATTGGAGACTACTCCAGTGCCATAATTTGTAATTTCCTATAGTTAATAATAGCAACATGGCAGATGCGCAAGTTTATGATGTGAGAAAGACATTTGTGCCATTTATTATATGGTGAAGATACAATTTTTGGTAATCTTTGAAAAATGTGAATCTGTTATTGAATTGATTTTTTTTTTTTGACAATGTAAATTAACACTGTGGCAGCTGAGTGAAAAATTTTATTTAGTGTTTAGTTTCATGGCACACTAAGGAACCACCAGAGCTTGATAAATGAAATTTAGAACATAGATGGATCATAAACATACCTACAGACTGCATATGAAACATTGTAAGTCAGCAATTAAAAATATGGCGACTACCCAAAACTGTGAGTTTGCTCTGACAAATTTCACATAGAGTCTATACATGAGCAGTAAGTTCTTCTGAAAAATAAAGTAACAGCCATAATGCCAATAAATATGTGCAGTAGGAAAGTAGGCTTTATGAATTTTGCTTATAATTGGTTGCTAATTATGTAATGTTTTTAAATTTAATTCCAGATTTCTAATAAGAACTGTCTTTTATACTCCACAACGTTTGCATCATTCCTTGAAGGTTGTACAGCAAAGAGGCATCCATTAAAGGACAGTTTGAGAAAAATGGCATTGCTTCAGTCCAAGAAAATTGTTGCCGTCTGTCAGATGACCGCAAAATCTGACAAGAAAATCAACATTGGCATTTGCTCAGAGCTGATTAAGGCTGCGAAGTCACAGAATGCTGAGGTAAGTACTGGTGGAATGGTAATGATATGACAGGTTCCATGCTTTACAGGAATTTGTTTATTAAAGCATTGAAGTTTGTGAGTGACCATGTACCATGAGAATATTAATTGCTGTAAGCAGCTCCTTGTTTTAGATTGAATGTGTTTCAGAACATAATGCAAACAGAATGTTTGGACCTAAAAGAGGATATAACAGGAGGGCAAAGAAAACTGCATAACAAGGAGTTTCATATATGATATAACTCCATCCTAAGTGCAAACTATATTTATAGGTCTTTTTCTTTATGCACAACATGTTTCGGCCCCAAACGACCATCATCAGGTGTATACACTCACGTATCTGTTACACTGCACTCATTTATAACATTTAATATTTAAAAACATAAGTATTCCTGATTAGCACATATAAAATCTTCAGTTCTAGTTTTAAATCCTTTAAAAATTTTTTCTCTAAATTTTAAAATTTAAAAATGTCAGGGTTACTCGCCCTATGTCTATAGTGCTGCAGTGGCTTCTTCTTGTTTCTAGTATTGTATAGGTGTTATCTGTAATATACAAATATTCATATTATTAATAATGTACATAATGTTTTCTTATGCGTTTATACTCTTATTTGTACTTACTCTGTGTAGTCTCCTTGTGTGCGTGCCGCTGCTTATCTTTACTACGTGTGCTGTCTGATGATATTGTGTGCCGTGTTTTATGTTGGTGAGTGTAGGAGGGGATTGGGTATTGGGAAGAGGGAGGTACCGTTAGTCTGTGTAGATTTCGTGTATCGTTTGAAATATGGGATTGTGTGTTTCTNATTTGAGTATCCGGAATTCCTATTATTATTTCTAATATCATGTATATATTCCTTATATCTGGTGTTAAATGTTCGGCCCGTTTGTCCAATGTACTTCAATGGGCAATCCGCACATTTCATTTGGTATGTGCCATTTTTATTGTATTTATCCAATTGTGGTTTATGTTTGAGTATATTTTCAATTGTGTTCTGTGTGCAAAATGCTACTTTTATCTGTATGTATTTGAAAAGTTTCATGATTTTC